TCTATTATTTATTTCATGCAAGAACAAATAAAAATAAATGCAAGATTGTTTTAATTTGAGAGACTTTTATTGTTTCTGTATTTCATGATTAAAAATGCAAATAAAATCATCTTAAAAAAAACAAAAAAAAAAAACAAAATGATAAAATGTGCGCACTTAATTTTTATAGGCTAACATATGCTTCCTCCATGTATTTTTGTAAGCGTGAGCTGAGAGCAAGTGTTAGGAAGAGCCCAGACAGTTCCTGCCCACTGCTTGACTTCATGTTCATAACACATGCTGTCTCCCAGCTCCCGAGTGTGCAAAAGAATGCCATAATTTAAAAGAATTAAATAAACATTGGGCTCTGTTGCCAAATTGAAAACTTTAGATAAAAAATGCAAATACAGACTGAACATAGGGGTCATTTTTAACAATATCAAACTATCAAATGGCAAATGTATGCTTTTTTTTTTTTTTTTAAGGAAAGTGTAGTTTCAAAAACTACTAAATCATATATAGAGCTGATTTTTTTTTTTTTAGTTTGGGATGCTGAGGAACGGTTGCATTGTTTTTCCTGTCTGCATTCTATTGGGAAGTTCCCCTTTCACTTCCGGTCTCAAGACAACAGGAATTAAGATCAGATCTCTGAAAAGTAAGGGGTATTCTTCTATTCCTGTTCCAGTGACAACTGAAAAGCTTGGATTTTCCCCCACTTTTAGTTCCAGTGACAATGCTCCAAGAATGAATAGAGGGAATGAGAGAGAATCTCCCTAACAGGGACAACAACCACAATAAAAATCTGATAGAGGTTCTAACCCTTCCCTACTCTTTTCAAAATGAAAAAAGGGGCTTGAGGTGCACCTTACATCTGCATAAATATATTGGAGCACAATCCTGAAAAGTGGAAAGCATTTCATTTGCTATAGCCAAACTTTGGTTCCTCCACAAGCACCAAATTTACTCTAGAAATCTGACATGACCCCAGACAGATTGATCCTGGGTGAAATGGACAATTTCAGATTTCACAGCAGCACAAATAAAAAACACCCAGTTATTCTGAACATGAATACCTATACACACATGGTCATAAAAACACAACTTCATCAATAACATTTAAATTTATTCCTCCATATACAAAAAGGTGCTGTTTAAGAAAACATCATTGCTACATTAATAAACAGATTTTTCTATGTAACCTCATTCACCGTGGATACACATTAAAGTGGTTGTAAACCTCAGACATGAAATATGAACAAAGTATATCCCTCTATAGTGTGTACTTGTCTCAATCCAGAGTACTAAGTGTTATTTCTGTCTGCTGCCTCTTTCCCCTGCTGTCAGCATGAATCACTTCTGACAAGTTTTCCTGACACCAAGAGAAAAATGGTGACAGGGGGAGGGCACAGCCTGTGATTGACAGCCTCAGCTCTGTTCCTGTGTACTGTGTGAAGGGGGGTGTGTCCTTTCCTTCCAATCAGCTCTCCTCACTGATGTAACTTCACCTCTCTGCCCCCTGCCTTCCAGAACTGACATCCTGTGTAAATGCTGCACTCTGAAAGAATATAGGGGGCAGACAGCTGTAGATAAACAGGTATAACTTATGTAGGAAGCGTTGTTCCATCTCTGTATATCACCTGAGGCCAGTCAATTCACTGGGTATATGTAAAGGTTTACAACCACTTTAAGAAATGCTCCAGTCCAGCGCAGCCCACATCATGTAACAAATATCCTTACTGCATATACTTTGGACTCGTTCACACCACACAGTACATAACATGTGAAATCTCACGGTCATGCACTGTAATGAGTTGTGATAATCTGCAGCGCTTGCCCTTTCGTCTCTTACTATGTGATTTTTTTTTCGCACTGCAGTGCACATTCATGCACTTACAGTGAGTTGGAAAATGCTGCGATGCACAAAAAATGCAACGTGTCCTGTGTTTTTAAATGCTAAGCTAAAACCATGGGACATTAAGCAAATTGGGGGAGATTTACTAAAATTGGTGCACACAGAATCTGCTGCAGCTGTGCACAGTAACCAATCAAATTCCACAATTTATTTTCAAAGCTTAATTGAACATGTTGAAGTTAGAAGCTGATTGGCTACCATGCACAGCTGCACCAGATTCTGGGTGCTCCAGTTTTAGTAAATCTCTGTGTCAGAGTCACTGTAAGTCGCATGATTTCAAAATCAGCTTTGATGTGACTGGGGGGGTAAAGGTGCAAATCATCCAAAGCAGTTATACCAGTTACAGGGGATTTCTGAGTTTTTTTTCTCATGAGGCATTCAGTGGTAAGTTATAGAGCTGCTAGCCCAATCCTACACCAGGGTTGCAGTGTATTATTGAAGTCTCATTTCTTCTGCTGCATTCTATGAAATGTTAAAAGCAGGGACAGTGAGATCTCCTTGTATTAACCAAATGTAGGGAACATAGTAACTCAGATATAAGGATTTTACAATCCAAAAGGGTTTTAAAAAGCAGGTAGGTATTTATTATGCTAATTTGACTTTTGGTGGATTTACTTGAAAGTGCACCTGTCACTTATAACCACTAAAGGGTGAAGCAATATTCAAGAAAGTACAAGCGATCATCTCTCAGTGAAGGAAGATGGATCATCTTCCTGTGAAGTCACTGGTTTCTAGGTAGTTGATAGGCCAAATATTGGGTAAACATATACAGTCATGGCCAAAAATACTGGTACCCCCTGCATTTCTGTCAGATAATGCGCCACTTCGTGGAGAAAATGGTTGCAATTACAAATGTAATTATCATGTTTATTTCTTTTGTTTGTATTGGTATGACACAAAAATGCAGAGAAATAAAAAGCCAAATCTGACACATTGCAAAACCCCAAAAATGAACTGGACAAAATTATTGGCACCCACAATTTAATATTTGCTAGCACACCCCTTGGAAACAATAACTGAAATCAATGGCTTCCTGTGACCATCAATGATTTTCTTACACCTCTCTACTGGAATTTTGGACCACTTTCCTTTCACCAGCTGCTCCATGTCTCTCAGAATGGAAGGCTTCCTTTTCCTAATTGCTGTTTTGATATCTCTCAACAGGTGCTCTATGGGATTGAGATCTGGACTCATTGCTGGTCAGTTCAGTACTCTCCAGAACTTTGTCTGAAACCATTTTTGGGTACTTTTTGACATGTGCTTTGGGTCATTGTCCTGCTGTAAGACCCATGACCTCTGACGGAGACCCAACGTTCAGACACTGGGCCCTATATTGCACCCCAGAAATCTTTGGTAGTCTTCAGATTTCATAATGCCATGCACACGGTCAAGACATCCAGTGCCTGAAGCAGCAAAGCAACCCCAAAACATCAGTGAACATCCACCATGTTTGACTGTATTATTTACTTTAAAGGCCTCATTTCTTTTTCTGAAAACAGTAGAATGATGGGCTTTACCAAAAAGGTGTAATTTAGTTTCATCTTGCAAGAGCACATTCTCCCAAAAGGATTTTGGCTTCCTCAGGGAAATTTTGGCAAACTCCAATCTGGTTTTTTTATGTTTCTGTGTCAGTGGGGTCCTCCTGGGTCTCCTGCCATAGTGTCCCTCTTCATTCAGATTGCGATGTAAAGTGTGAGCTGACACAGTTGTACCCTGTGCCTGAGGATCAGCTTGAATTTGTCTGGAAGGTGATCGAGGTTCTTTATTCACCAAACAATCCTTCATTGCAATCTTTTATCAATTTGTCTTATTCGTCCACGTCCAGGGAGATTAGCTACAGTGCTATGGGCTGTAAACTTCTTGACAATGTTGCGCACAGTGGGCACAGGAACATTAATATCTCTGGAGATGGACTTGCAACCTTGAAATTGTCCATGCTTTTCCAATTTTTGTTCTCAAATCCTCAGACAATTTTTGCTGCTCTTTCTCTGGCACACAGGGACACACAACAGAAAGGTTGAGTCAATTTTTCACCATTTTAACGGTTTGCTGGCATGATTTCTATATTGTCAGCACCTGTTCTTTGATATAGGTGAGTCTAATTACAAATTACAGGAGCATCACAAACTTGGAATGCAATTATTTCTTACAATTTTGAGAAGGTGCCAATAATTTTGTCCAGTCCATTTTTGGGGTTTTGAGTGGAATGTGTCAGATTTGGCTTTTTGTTTCTCCACTTATTTGTGTCATACCAATACAAACAAAAGAAATAAACATGAGAATACCTAAACTTTTGTAATTGCAACAATTTTCTGGGCGAAGTGGCACAGTATCTGACAGAAATGCAGGTGTGCCAATATTTTTGCCCATGACTGTTGTAAGGCTGCTTTCACACTGATCTATTTTTCTGCTGTTTTTGCTTTAAAAAAAAGCAGAAGAGAAATGCATAACCATTAAAACCTATGGAACTCATCACAGTGGTCAGTTGAGGGTGCTCCTTTACTTCTGGAACTTTGGTGGGGAAGATCTCTGCACCTGACTTACCAGCACAGAGAACATTCATCTGAAGAAGGGATGGTGCACTAAAATGTTTCCCTCACAATATCTGAGATTAGTAATCCCATTACCAGCTGTAGAACTTCCAGTATCTTTCACTACCATTTGGAGAAGGTTTTCCTGTTGAAATAATATTACAGAAAATGCAACAGGAGGAGACTCATGTGTAGGGAGGTAACTGTATGTACTCCTTCAGGAGGATCTTGCCAATGAAATCTCTGAGAAATATACCAAAATGGTGAGTGTTACCTTCCACCAGTCTACTCCTGTGACTAAAATATATATTTTTTTGCGGACTGACCCTTTAGAGGCACAAGTGTTTGAAGGGTGTAGTGTGTTCTTGGCATTGGACTTCCCTGATAATTGCTTCTTTTTGGAACCCTGAAGAACACTTAAGAGCTCAGAGTTGGACCTAAGTAGTAGTGTCAGTGCTTTCTGCATAATCCAGCATTAATACTCATGGATTATAGAGAGGACATTCATGGGTATCTGAGAAGTGACTTCTCACGTGGAATCGGAGAGACCCTGGTGACAGATAACACATTCCTGGTCTTCAGTATTCCTGATCGATAAACTTGGCAATTGTGCTCAGCTGGATATTAGATGTTCCCTCATAGATTGTACCTAGAACATCAAATGTACACATTCTCAGTAAACATGTACTAATATCATATAATTAACATTTCTTAATGAAGAAATAACATATGCTGGCATGTTATGGGATCACTAAATTTAGAAGCTTCTTCACACAGCTTCATGAATGTTAATATTTTTAAGTAAAATGTGTCAAAAAGCCAAAGTGTTAATCCCAGGTAGAAGAAGCCTTTCTTCCCTCCTGGGCCATATACTATTTCCAGGGCAAAGATGTCTTCCAGGGGTGCCGAGTAGGCTCTGTTTACACGCTCCTCAGCTATCCTGAAGCCCAAGTGTCTTGTAATGACACAAAGCTTTAAACCAGGAGGGAAGGCAACAGGTAGACACAGTCATTAGTTTTTCCTGTGATGATGATTTTGGTCATATTAAAGGCCTGTTCTTGTCATCTACTCCTCCCTGTTGTTGGGCTGTTACCATGGCATCAGTAGGTGGTTAGATCCCACATGAGTGATATTCACAACTTTAGCACATCGGTATAAGGAAAAATCTTTCACAATCTAACTTTTCTACTGCTTTATGGCAACATACACATATATAAGGGTGGAGTTTACTGGTATAGTATACAGCATGATTCTTCATAGAATCACCAAATTCTTTAAGCCTTGAAAAAAAAATAGTCCTGCATGCCTTACCTTTCCTCATCCTTTGCAGTGTCTTGTTTGTGTCAAAATTACAGGTGCACCTAAAACGGCTACTCACAGTTTACACTGTGTTCTTTTGCGGTTAGTTGAACCTATAATTTACAGTAGCCAGTCACATGACCAGGTGCCAAGGCTAAAGTTAATAATGGCTGATCCTCACCCCCAGCAGAGATCGGTTTCTACAGTGAAGCCGAGAATTCTAAACACTCTGCTACTGATTATTAGTTTTAGGGGACATGAAAACAATAGATCTGTTATAATAATATGTCCAATTAAAATCCTGTCCCTTTTCCCTTTCAGGGCAAAGTAGCGGGTTCTCTTGATAAGGCCCCCCCCCCCCCCCCCCCCCCCCGCATCTACTATTATTATGCATCTTACCTATCTTGACATCCCGGTAATATTTTTCTATTGGATAGTCTTTGGTGAAGCCAACACCTCCCATCCATTCCAAACACTTGCTGGTTGTCATTGCTGCCACCTAAGGAGATAAAATGGTCATCAGGTTGTGTGATCGGTCATAAAATTGATGATTTCAGGAACTTCAACTGGGGGAAAAAAAGAAGTATCAGGCTTTCTCTAAGGCTGCATACCTCTACAATATATATATTAGGGCCAATGCTGACAGCCTTGGGGCTTATATTGATCTCATGAGTTTGACACACCTCTGCGATCATTCCGAATTCTTTGACAAGTGCATATGATCTGTAATTGTTCACTTTGTTTAATCACTTCCCATCCGCCCTATAGCGGAAGTACTGCCACAGGATGGCACGGATGCGCAAAATCACATATACAGTCAGGTCCATAAATATTGGGACATCGACACAATTCTAACAGTTTTGGCTCTATACACCACCACAATGGATTTGAAATGAAACAAACAAGATGTGCTTTAACTGCAGACTGTCAGCTTTAATTTGAGGGTATTTACATCCAAATCAGGTAAACGGTGTAGGAAATTACAACAGTTTGCATATGTGCCTCCCACTTGTTAAGGGACCAAAAGTAATGGGACAGTTGGCTTCTCAGCTGTTCCATGGCCAGGTGTGTGTTATTCCCCTCATTATCCCAATTACAATGAGCAGATAAAAGGTCCAGAGTTCATTTCAAGTGTGCTATTTGCATTTGGAATCTGTTGCTGTCAACTCTCAAGATGAGATCCAAAGAGCTGTCACTATCAGTGACGCAAGCCATCATTAGGCTGAAAAAAACAAAACAAACCCATCAGAGAGATCGCAAAACATTAGGCGTGGCCAAAACAACTGTTTGGAACATTCTTTTAAAGAAGGAACGCACCGGTGAGCTCAGCAACACCAAAAGACCCGTAAGACCACGGAAAACAACTGTGGTGGATGACCGAAGAATTCTTTCCCTGGTGAAGAAAACACCCTTCACAACAGTTGGCCAGATCAAGAACACTCTCCAGGAGGTAGGTGTATGTGTGTCAAAGTCACCAATCAAGAGAAGACTTCACCAGAGTGAATACAGAGGGTTCACCACAAGATGGAAACCATTGGTGAGCCTCAAAAACAGGAAGGCCAGATTAGAGTTTGCCAAACGACATCTAAAAAAGCCTTCACAGTTCTGGAACAACATCCTATGGACAGATGAGACCAAGATCAACTTGTACCAGAGTGATGGGAAGAGAATAGTATGGAGAAGGAAAGGAACTGCTCATGATCCTAAGCATACCACCTCATCAGTGAAGCATGGTGGTGGTAGTGTCATGGCGTGGGCATGTATGGCTGCCAATGGAACTGGTTCTCTTGATGATGTGACTGCTGACAAAAGAAGCAGGATGAATTCTGAAGTATTATCTGCTCATATTCAGCCAAATGCTTCACAACTCATTGGACGCCGCTTCACTCGCCTGACCTGAACCCCATAGAGAATGGGGCACAGTGCAGATGGACAATGACCCAAAGCAGACTGCAAAAGCAACCAAAGAGTTTTTTAAGGGAAAGAAGTGGAATGTTCTGCAATGGCCAAGTCAATCACCTGACCTGAATCCGATTGAGCATGCATTTCACTTGCTGAAGACAAAACTGAAGGGAAAATGCCCCAAGAACAAGCAGGAACTGAAGACAGTTGCAGTAGAGGCCTGGCAGAGCATCACCAGGGATGAAACCCAGCGTCTGGTGATGTCTATACGTTCCAGACTTCAGGCTGTAATTGACTGCAAAGGATTTGCAACCAAGTATTAAAAAGTGAAAGTTTGATTTATGATTATTATTCTGTCCCATTACTTTTGGTGTGGAAGAAAAAGGTGCACAAGCAGCAGGGATGACCGCAGCCTGGAGAGGATTGTCAGGAAAAAGCCATTCAAAAGTGTTGGGGACTTTCATAAGGAGTGGACTGAGGCTGGAGTCCGTGCATCAAGAGCCACCACACACAGACGGATGTTTGTAAACAAAACAGTTTTCTCCCGTCAGCTCCGGCACACTGCTTTGCATGGCTGTCTACAGCACAGTGAGCTTAGTGAGCTTACAGTGAAGCACATACACACAGCCCCTAGTAAAACAGTGCACTTTGATTGCCCCACATTAACCCCTTTCCTGCCCAGTGCCAGTAGTACAGTGTCAGCCACCGCAGACCCTCTGTAAGTTGATGATCGCCGCCATCACTAGTAAAAACAAAAAAATAAATTACAGTATATATACCGCCATCTGTAAACTTTCACGTAAACCAATTAATTTACATGTATTGGGATTTTTTTTTTTTTTAAGCAAAGACATAGAATACATTTTGGCCTAAATTTATGACGAAATTTGATTTTTTTTAATTTTTTTTACTGGACATGTTTAATAGCAAAAAGGCAAAAAATATTGTTTTTTTTTTCCTCAAAATTGCCATTTTTTTTTTTTTTTTTAATAGCATAAAAAACGCACAGGCGATCAAATGCCACTGAAAGAACGCTTTATTTGTGGGGAAAAAAAAGAACGTAAATTTCATTTGGGTGCAGCGTTGCATGACGTTAATTGTAAGTGAAATATTTAAAATAGCAAACCAACAGCAGATTCTTAGCTCTATCAGCAGTCAGAATCAGAATAGGCTGCAATGACCCCATAGGAGGTCATGCTATATACTACATTTTATGGGTAGGCATCCAGTAGAATTGCATATGGCGCCTCACCTAGTGGGGATGGAGCAGATTATCTCTTTGTAATGTGACCAAAAACTCCATAGATTAATTTGGTCAGTAAAGCTCACATTTTGAGTTGTTGCCAGAACAGGAATAGGGGGAAAATATTACTGTTCAGAGGAAAAATTTCAGGTCACATTCTGCTTCCTATTACAGTGCAATGAAACTGTTACCAATCATAACAAGGAACAAAACAAAAACAACAAGTTTGATTTTATATTTTTTTTATCTAAAGTTCATTTTTACCTAAAGATTACATTTTTTTAGTTACCATTAATGTAACTAAAGGCAAAACTTTTTTTCATTTTGGATAGAGTAAGGGAGGGTTATAACCTGTCAGTTTTTTTTTTTGCCATAGGTGAGATTTCCCTTTACTCCCTGTCCCATAGCCAAGACAGGAAGTGAGATGAAATCCCTACACAGGGATCTTGGTGTGTCACCAGGGTTCCCAAAACTAGTGTGCCCATTGGAAAATTTCCCCCTATTCCTGTTCTGGCAACAACTCAAAATGTGAGCTTTACTTTCCCATTCAATGATAACAGTAAACAGGACAAACAGAGAGGGTGAATCTCCATAACAGTAGGACAGACAGCATTAAAAACCCGACAGATATTCTAATCCCTCTCCACGCTATCCAAAACTAGAAAAAAAAAAAAACTTGTCTTTAGTTACACTTTAAGTGTCAGGGCCTAGTGCAGCCTCTGAAATGTTAAGACAGCCCAGACATTATTATAAATAAGGTTTGGCTGACATAGTCTGAACCTGTCTGCTTTTGCCTCTAGGAACTAAAGGTAATTATTTATTACACATGGTACACTGACCCACAGGGAACTCTACTTATACATGGTGCTGCTTTACCTCTGAGGAGAAGTATTTAGCCATGCAGGCCTCCTTCTTAAAGGGTCTCCCAGCTTCTCTCAACCTGGCTGCATTGTAAGTAAGAAGTCGGGCTGCCTCCAGCTGAGTGGCCACGTGTGAGATCTGATGCTGCATACCCTACAAAGAAAAAAACAAAAGACAGTAACCAGACCATTATTCTTAGATGTATGGTGCTAAATCCTGGAATCAACAAAACTCAGAAGAAAAGTGGAAAGCCAAGTAAAAAAGCAATTCCCAATAGGTTGTAGTAATTTCAAATGCTTACTGCCCTACACTGAAATCAATCTTTTCATAAAAAAAAGCTGGTAATTAGATTTAAAAACCGGCATTGTTTTTAATTGCAATTACCTGCTTTTTTTTCCCTTCACTATAGCTCCAAGAAGGATCTGTCATTCTCCCTGAACACTAAAGGAAATAAAGGGGTGGGGTCACCAGTGGCATTACACGGTGACCCCGCCCATTAGTTTCCTTTAGCGGCAGGGAGATGACAGCTCCTTCTTGGAGCTATAGTGAAGGGAAAAAAGGTAATTACATTTAAATAACAGCAGTGACATATAGGGGCAGCCAGTGAGGGAACCTGAGTGTATACACTGCTCCCTCACTGTATACACCGCTCCTCTCCTGCCCCCCACCCCCACCCTACAAAGAGGACCCATCACTCCTATGCTATCACATAGGGAACTATTGGTCCCCTATGTGATAGGAATAAAATCATAAGTTAAAGAAATAAATAAAAATACACATTAAAGTAAAAAAAAAAAAAAAAATACAAAAAAAAATTGGGCCTCCCCACCCTCACATACGCAAACTTTTCAGTTTAGGTTTTCGGCCACGTGTATTCTGAATTTTTGGCATCGGTTTTTGACACCAGGGTTTTTATTTAGGTGCACCACTAATTATTATGCATTTCTCTAGAACTGTCAAACTCATTATATAGTCTCGGAGTAAAACTCTAATAGCATGTTATTATTTATGGTATTAAGGTTTGAACATGCACTACAGACACAGATTTAGCAGCTGTGATATAGAATGCCTTTATAAATAAAACCAAGTTTGATAAACAAAAAATATTGCTTTTTGACAAACAGAAGTGCAACTTTACAATGTAAAAAAATCCCAAAAAGTGTAAACTCTATTGGCTGTAACACTGTTTCACACATTACCTGAATATATTATATTTCGTTGACGAAATAACACTTAATAGTAATACTGTAAAATCAGGAAACCCCACCTCTCCTTAAACAGACCTCTCCCCCCATACACTAAAATTGACATCAGCATGCTGAAATTAAATCATTTTATATTCATTAGTGAAACAATTTTTGCTTTTACCCAGAGTTCTAGGAATTAAAAGGAGGCAAAAATGGCCACCATGAGAAGAATGGGGAAGAAAAAAAAATGAGATATGCAGGAAATAAATAAAAAACCTGCTATTATCTATAATGAATTTGTTTGTAGACTGCCATTACTAAACAATTCCAAAGGTGCCTTTACAGTGATTTTTATGATAAGAGTGAAGCTCCTCTTCAAGGTGGCCAAGCACTAAGCCAGTCATTGGCAGAGACCAATTTGGTACCTTATGTGTCCTATTATGAGGCATACCGAACCTTTAGGCAGCCCATACGTACCAGTGAGTTGAACGAAAAAAAAAAAAAAAAAAGATCCAATTCCCCCATCCACACATTCGATGTAGATGGGAAATTGACTTCTGTACAACCTGCATACCCATACATGGATCAACATTCAGCTGATCTGTCCTGAACTGGCTGAATTTCAATTAATGTATGGCCAACTACATATGTGATTGTTGTCCACTCAGATACCAAATGACCAAGATGGAAAATCTAACTGTACACCATACACATCTGTCTGCATTTGGGGGCATCCGAAGACGTTCTTTGTAGCTCACATGATTTGGAATTCTGGCAGCGTGCCAAACAACTGCATTGTTTAGTTAAGCCCATACAGATTAAGGCCTAATTGTGGAATAAGAGGAGACAGGACAGGAAGGGAAATAATCACAAGTAGCACATCTTTTTCTGCTATATTTATTCATATTGAAAACTCTGTAAATTAAAAATAAAAGTCCTGGGAGCAAGCCCAATTCTATGGAGCAGAGGAAAGGATCAAATTATATCATTTAAAGTAAAGCTTCCAGAAAACGCACCTAAGGATAGACAGATATTTCACTGGCTGTCCTAAGAATGCAAAGTGAGAGTAGGAAGCTGTAAAAGGGGGACCCATTATCAATTTTACGGAATACAATATTTGTCTATACAGGTGAAACTCAGAAAATTAGAATATCGTGCAAAAGTTCATTTATTTCAGTAATGCAACTTAAAAGGTGAAACTAATATATGAGATAGACTCATTACATGCAAAGCAAGATAGTTCAAGCCGTGATTTGTCATAATTGTGATGATTATGGCTTACAGCTCATGAAAACCCCAAACTCCACAATCTCAGAAAATTAGAATATTACATGCAATCAATAAAACAAGGATTGTACATAGAACAATATCAGACCTCTGAAAAGTATAAGCATGCATATGTACTCAGTACTTGGTTTGGGCCCCTTTTGCAGCAATTACTGCCTCAATGCGGCGTGGCATGGAAACTATCAGCCTGTGGCACTGCTGAGGTGTTATGGAAGACCAGGATGCTTCAATAGCGGCCTTCTGCTCTTCTGCATTGTTCGTTCTCATGTCTCATTCTCTATGGGGTTCAGGTCAGGTGAGTTTGCTGGCCAATCAAGCACAGTAATCCCTCGGTCATTGAACCAGGTTTTGGTGCTTTTGGCAGTGTGGGCAGTTGCCAAGTCCTGCTGGAATAGGAAGTCAGCATCCCCATAAAGCTCATCCGCGAAAGGAAGCATGAAGTGCTCTCCAAAATCTCCTGGTAGACGGCTGCGTTGACCCTGGACTTAATGAAGCACAGTGGACCAACACTGGCAGATGACATGGCTCCCCAAATCAACACAGACTGTGGAAACTTCACACTGGACTTCAAGCATCTTGCAGTGTGTGTGCCTCTCCATTCTTCCTCCATACTCTGGGTCCTTGGTTTGCAAATGAGATGCAAAAGTTGCTCTCATCAGAAAAGAGGACTTTGGACCACTGAGCAACAGACCAGGTCTGTTTTTTTCTTTAGCCCAGGTAAGACGCTTCTGACGTTGTTTGTTGTTCAGGAGCGGCTTGACAAGAGGAATACGACATTTGAAGCCCATGTCCAGGATCCATCTGTGTGTGGTGGCTCTTGATACACTGACTCCAGCCTCAGTCCACTCCTTCTGAAAGTCCCCAACACTTTTGAATGGCCTTTTCCTGACAGTCCTCTCCAGTCTGCGGTCATCCCTGCTGCTTGTGCACCTTTTTCTTCCACACTTTTCCCTTCCACATAACTTTCTATTAATGTGCTTTGATACAGCACTTTGGGAACATCCAACTTCTTTTGCAATTGCCTTTTGAGGCTTTCCCTCCTTATGGAGGGTGTCAATGATGGTTTTCTGCACAACTGTCAGGTCAGCAGTCTTTCCCATGATTGTGATTCCTACTGAACCAGACAGAGACCATTTAAAGGCTCAGGAACCCTTTGCAGGTGTTATGGCTTAATTAGCTGATTAGAGTGGGACACATTGAGCTGAGAATATTGCACCTTTTCACAATATTCTAATTTTCTGAGATTGTGGATTTGGGGTTTTCATGAGCTCTAAGCCATAATCATCACAATTATGACAAATCACAGCTTGAACTATCTTGCTTTGCATATAATGAGTCTATCTCATATATTAATGTCACCTTTTAAGTTGCATTACTGAAATAAATGAACTTTTGCACGATATTCTAATTTTTCGAGTTTCACCTGTATGACCATAGCCCTATAGGATTTTCCTGGGTTAAGACTGTGGCATTCCAGAGCAGCAACAACCTCTCAGCAAGTGCCGTAGAAAATGGCACACTTGCCCCAAGATAAAAAACAGCTGCTCACATTTATTATAGATAGGATGCATATGAAAACAGTAATAATTATGCTATACCTGAAAGTCAAATATCCTCTTCCCAAACTGCATCCTCTGCTTGGTGTATGGGATGGTCTGATCAAAACAGCCCTGAGCCAACCCCAGCATCTGCGAAACACAGAAGGGGTAAATTATACTGTTTCTATGACAAGTAATATGAAATTATCATATCATCTCTGAAAGGACATCAAAAAAAAAGAATCATTTAGAAATACCAAACCTTTTTTCAGCAGCATATTTAAATGTATTTATGTATAATTAATGCTTAAAGCTCATCTCCGGGCATACAAAAGTTTTCCCATGCAGCAAGACTGTGCCCGTGCTGCACGGGTTAACTACTTGTTTTTGTCTGGGGGGGGGGGGGGGGGGGGGATTTACTTACCTAATCCTTTGACCGGTTTGGCACCCCCACACTCCAGTGGTCTTGAGTAGTGGACTGTTCCTGATGTCATCAATCCCAGAGCAGGCTCAATAGACCAGGAACAGTCCATTGCTGGACTATTGGGGAGCACCGTTTTCTGGTGGAACAAAGGATTGAGTGAGTGCGCAGCTAACCCGTGCAGTGCCGGCACAGCCTCACTGCATGGGAAAACTTTAATTTTGCCCTGACATGAGCTTTAATATATGCCAGAGCTAAATAAAAAAATATGCATTCCCCCCTTGTTTTATCTCTTGAACAAGCTGAAAGTACAGAAATCTAATGAGCTCCTAACTTCCTTTTTGAGCGGACAACACAGTGTCTCTACTATAGTTATACTAAACCTAAAAATGCTTATTTACCTTAATGAATGGTGGTAAAAAAAAAAAATGTTGTTTTCTGTTTCCCTGTGCTTGACCTTCCCTGTGTGAAGGGGAAGAAAGAAAGAGATCAGTGCTGTGCAACGGCTGCATCTGTTCTCCCCTTGCTTCCTCTTCACATAGGGACTCAAACAGCAGCAGAAGCCATTGGCATTTGCTCTTGTCCATCAAATGCGGTGAAGAGGAAGTAGTGGGTGAGCTTAGTCCCGCTGTGTGTGTCTATAGAGCGATCACACAGCATGTGTCCCCTAGGAAAAGGCTTGCTATGGGGACACACAAAGAAAAGGAGGAGACAGGATCACCGGCGGGGGAACACAAGAAGAGGAGGATTGGGGCCGCTCTGTGCAATACCACTGCGCAGAGCAAGTGAGGATAACATGTTTCTTATTTTAAAATTTAAAAAATCTGCCTTTAGGAACACTTTAAATCCCAAGCAGTGTTATCAGCCTCGCCCAGTTCTAGTCTGCTGGACTACATATCACTCACTTGCACCCCATATATTATGAAGGGGAGGTGTTCTGCAGTTGAGCACAGAAGTATTGGGCAGGGCTGACAACAATGTTGGGTTACTTCAGTGCAGCAGAGTTGCTGTGTTTTTAACAAAAATTTGAAACTGGGAGTTTACTGGATTTCTGGCAGATCAGCAGGTATTCTTCTGTACTGCGTAAGCAACAGTTTTATACAGACAATGGTGTTTGAAAAATGTGCTTGTTCTTTCAAAGTTGTATTGCATGTGTTTTTTTTCACAGACTTACATTTAAACTTCTTCATAAGTACAGGTATTTCATGACATTGTAACTGTAGGGAAATAGTCAGTTTGTAGCTTTGTATTACTATATAGTGATCTGGCACTGTGGGGTTTATTTACTAAAGCTGAAGAGCTCAAATCAGGCTCACTTCTGCATAGAAACTGATCAGCTTCTAACTTCAGCTTGTTCAATTAAGTTTTAGCAATACAACCTGGAAGATGATTGGTGTCTATGCAGAACTGATCCTGATTTTGCACTCTCCAACTTTAGTAAATAAACCTCTATAAAACAGTACGTCTCCCTCTGATACTTGCTAATAAGGAAAACAGCAGCGTCTACACAAATGTGCACTGTCAGCAATCACTCCTCCATTGTGATCATGGCTATTAGTAGCCAGTCTGGTCACAAAACACAAACAATACACAATACAGGCCAGTTATTACAAGCCTAGAATTGTTGGGATTGGACAAAAAAATGGAAACACTACATGATTTGCAGATGTGAAAATTATGGTATGTTTTGCTTTGAAAGCAAAAGTGATGTAACATTCTTTTGCTTACACTGTGTAATGAGACACCTAGCTAACAGATAGCAAGCCTCACTTTCGTCATTCAGTACGTGTGCTGCTAGTAATATGGAGCCATGTCAGAGCTTACTGAGCTTCAAAGAGGGCAAATTGTTGCGAGCCCGCTTAGCTGGTGCCTCTGTGACTAAAGTTGCCAATTTACTTGCCGTGTCACGAGGTACAGTATCAAAATTTATGACGGCATATGCAGCTCACGGGAAAACGCCATCTGCTAAGCATAGGCACGGTTCGACATGGCTGACTGACTGACTGACCGAAAGAGACAAAAAGACATCGTGCAGGATTGTGACCTGGAATAAGAAAACAACTACTGCAAAAGTGACTGCAGAGCTCAATCTCAGTCTTCACAGCAGTGTGCTCATGAGCAAAACTGTAGAATATTTATGTTTGACGTGGCACTTGGGCTCACTGGTCCTGTTGTATCACCTGGGCAGCAATTCCAATCCGGCCTTCATTCAGCATTTCTATAGCATATTTGTAACCTTGTCCCACCTGGCCGAGGATACTGGACTCTGGAACCTGTATGAGACAAAGTGCAAGATCAACAGTACATAGAGATGTAGATGATTGCTATACTTAAATTAAAGCCCTACTCCAGTGTGCCCTCCCCTGACTTCATCCAGCCCTCATTCCTTTGAACCTTTGAACAACCTTGCACCCTTTTTTGTTTTAAAAATCTTTATGCATGTTGAATGTTACAGAGAATAGTGTCATAAAATAATGGGGTGCCACTATCTGCGGCATTTTCCTGTGAGCTCAGGGTGACTGGATAGCATACCCCCAACAAAGTGAATTGAATGAAGGCTGGTTGTCATTCAACCTGGTAAACTGGTGACATCTAGTGGTGGAAAAGAATTATTGGGGGAAAGTGCAGAGATAGGGCTTTCAAGTGGTTTTAAAGGCTTGAGGTATTTTTATCTTTACCACTTAAAGACCCATCCACTAGCAGATTTACTGCTACAGAGCAGCCCTCCTGTGAAAAATCATGTATGTAATCGTGATTTTGCACTTCTGTCTAGGGGGGCTCGCACATACAGTACACTAAAACACTCCCTAGGCACACAGTTAACCCTTTGATTGCCCTAGATATTTAACCCCTTCCCAGTCAGTGTCTTCAGTACAGTATCAGTGCGTATTTGTTAGCACTGATCACTGTATTAGTGTCACTGGTTCCCACAAAGTGTCAGTGTAAAAAAGTCCTTCGCAATATCACAGCCCCGCTCTAAGTCGCTGATTGCTGCCATTACTAGTATAAAAAAAAAATGTTATGACTGTCACCAGAAAAGTATTGGAGAGAGAATCTTCCAAAGGGGACACTTTTTCTGGTGACAGCTGCCCCCATATTTTGGGAAGATATCCACTTCCTGTTATGTTGAGGGGTCAGGAAGTGAGTGAAAATCTTACCAATGGGGACAGAGGAAAAAAAAAAAAAAAAAAAACCTTACAGTGGTTATAAGTCTTCCCCACTCCATCCAATATTAAAAAGGAAACGTTTTTTGGCTGGAGTTAAACTTTAATACAGGAAACTGCTTGCTCTTCCCATGAGGATCCCATTTACAATTTACATTAAGGATTAATTCAATGAAAAGGGCATCATACCTTCACATTATCAAATGACAGGCTGCAGGTTGACGATGCTCTGAGACCCAGTTTATCCTCTTTTTTTCCAATATGTAATCCTTCAGTATCCCTAGGCACTATGAAACACGTGATCCCTCTGTATCCCTGAAATACACAAGACAATTGGTTCCAATACTTGTACAATACCTGTGTAATCCTGCATTGGTATGCTGCACATTCCTGCTGTACAAACCACTTATAGATGATCAGTTTATACAAATAAATAGAAGGCATTGCTTGGAGTCTATGCAAGTGACACTAAACTTTGTTTAAAAAGTTAAAATTCTGTTTAAGTATGTATTCTTAATTAAAAAAGGTATTCTTGCTCTCAGCCTCCTCCAAGTGTCCAAATTCCTTTTTTTCTCCTGTTAGAGAGTGGCTAAGTTCCTTCTCCATTGTCTCACTGTATGTAAGAATGCAGCCACTCTCTTGACCGATCCTGAGGACTATAGAATATGGGATGTGTAGTGTGTTTACAGCAGCACGCATGACCAAAACTGACATGCGCTGCTCATTCCAATGGAACGGAAGTGAGGGGGAAAAGGAGGTTGGGGAGCTCACCGAGGACATTACAATGAGGCAGAAAAACACAGTACAAAAACAATTTCATGAAAAATAGATTACAGGGTCATTAAACCCGCTATTAAACCCATAACCAATAATGTAATATATTGAAGCTTAAACATTAGATGTGGTGGCTGCATTCGTTTTTTTTTTCTTAAGCTTTTATCCCTTTTCCTCTCTGTTTTCACCTGCTGATCAGGCTAGTATCCCACTTCCTGCATTACAGTATTTCCACTCTGGATGAATGAGCACAGGGGCACCTTTGGATAGCTGCATTGTCATGTGGGGGGGGGAGAGGAGAGTATTAAGTGTGCAGATTTAGATACACTAACAAATTGAAGTCAAACTCCAGCTAATACTTTATTAACGTGCGTGGTGATGTCACTGGCTAGCCACACCCTAACGCGTTTCGTCAAATGACTTCTGAGGTTATTTTTTTAAATATATTTTTTTTTCATTATTATTCTATTCTAATTTATTTAATTATTATTGATGTATTTTAAAATGTATTTCTTTATTGAGTGTATAAATGTGATTATGCTGATGGCTATTACAATGATATGTATTGATATTATCTCGTTGTTATACTAGTATTTGTACACAAGATGGTGCTATTGCAATGAGGTAGTCCGGTGTTTATACATGGGATCATGCATAGTAATGACATTACACCTTCAGGTGTTTTATTGATTGGGCCAATTAGAAAGGAGGTGGCTCTATAAGAGCGCCCTCCACGCACGGCTTACCACTCCCTCAGAAGAAGTCATTTGACGAAACGCGTTAGAGTGTGGCTAGCCGGTGACGTCACCACGCACGCTGGTGCACGTGTCTGGACCACGTGATTGCACCATCACCATCTTGAGTGCAGGCAGGCTGGTGAGACGCTGGAGACAGAGCTTGTAGCTCTGAGTATTAACAAACGCTGTATATTTATATACTCATTGTGAGTGCGGTTTTAATGGGGGGGTTTTGTTACCTTAATAAATTTGCTGGATGATATTGCACTATGACGAGTATTTTTTTATTCACATGTGCGTATTGGATATGAGAGGATTTTTCTAAGCTGGAGCCTAATTGGTGGAATGCTGGATATAAATTGATACGCTGGTTTATCACCAGTACATGGTGAGTGTGCAATTTGATGGGGTGTTCTGTGCACTGGATATCACATTGGTGAAGGAGGATCTCATTACTTCAGTTATTGAGGATCATTGATATATGGACTTTTCTGAATGGACTATATGGGGACTTCCTATATATGATTTAGCACTGATTAATTTATTGCACATATATGGTGGTGGATATATGAATTTATTTATTCATTTATTGATTTGGTTTAGGATTGCGCTATTATTTGTGGTTATTTGGTTTATCACATTTATTATTATTTACAGTGTATTATTAATAGCAGCACCTAATGTTTTATACTCATTATCTAATTATATTGGCGCAATGATGTGGGTATTAGAAGTGTCTTGAGTGTTATACTCATAGAGACACTTCAGGTGACTCACCTAATTGAGAATACTTTATTAGCAATTACAGCAAACAGTTTTTTTTCCCTTTTGGGATAAAGCTTTTACATAAATAAAAGCTGATCATTGTAAGCACCCCTGCTAATGTTAAATAGTTTGTCTCATCTCTGTAACTGATGCATTCTGTTGGAGAGCTTATTCTTTTGAAAAAAAATAGAAGAAAGCACTAAAAAAAAAAAAAAAATAATGAATGCAGCCATCACATCTAAGAAATGAAAAGCGGTAATATTATACATTTTTGCTTTTGGGTTTAATACCACTTTAAGCAGTGGGTGTGTATGGACTATTCTTGGAGAATAACAATATTGTTTAGTGTAATTAAAGTCAGACGTCCTGATCTGCAGGCTTCTTCTAGGTCAGCGCTGTAAACAATTCTAGAGCCATCTGATCGGCTTCAACACCAAACGGCTAGTAGTTTCAAAAGAAGAGGTCAGCAAATCAGCCTCCATTATCTCTTAAGGCCGGTTACTTTTAAATTGTCAACTACAAAATCTGAGAGTTTACTGTTCTGGATGTCTGAAAATGTAAAAATGAGCTTGTGTAGAAAATTTGACATTACACTGATTATTAATAAAGTGTGTTTTCTCCTGTAAAAGAGCAGGTATAACAGCTACAACCAGAGATAAAAAGGGAGACAACAGAGAACTTACAGCAGAGACATCAGCGTTGGCCATGACAAGGAAAACTCCAGCCTGCTCAGAATTACTGATCCACATTTTGGAGCCATTGATCACATAGTAATCTTTGTGTTTCTGAGCTGTGGTCTTTAGAGAGAAGGCATCGCTGCCAGAACCGGCTTCTGAAAGGCAGAAACTACCCACCTGTGACAAAGGTAAAAAAGCAGTTTCATCCTCAATTATCTGCATGCTTGTAACAACACTGAACACAGAGTACCTACAGGACAAAATTAAAGCATTTGACCTTCTATATTAATCTGCTTCCATACAGACAGGGCTCAGCTATTCATAACCTAAAGGCAAAATTTGCTCATGCAGGGAAAAGAAACAAGTTGGATTAAGCCCTGGTCACCACTGAATACGACTTTGAAATCGTGAAACTTCAATTGAAGTTTCAAAGTCGAATGTCAGTGTGACTTTAGGTGTGACTTGTAAGACATCTGTGCAACTTCATGTCAAGTCACACCAGAAATCTGAAAAAGTAGTGCAGGAACTACTTTTCAAATTGCTTTGCTCTGCATGTCAAAATAGTTCACAAAAAAAAATAAACAAACAAAACACAGACAAATGAAACATGTTAACCTCAATTAAGATTAATATGAGATTTAAAAATAATGACCAGGTACAGTTTTGAAATCCTGGTACAGATACACCTTGGTATACACCTCTGCTGCCCTAATATTCTGACAGACACTGTCTTGTAATGCAGTGTCATCATTGGTGGAAACTCCTCTGGGGAGGGAACAGACAAGGGTCTGTATCTACACAGATCTGAAAGTTAACTAGTTTCCATAACTGAGATAACGAAGTTTCTCACCATGTCTTTGCACAACCTGGACAGGTAGGTGTCTTTCTGTTCCTCTGTACCCAGTCTCATGAACAAGGCATTGATAAGTGTGTTCTGAATGTCACATATAATCGACACAGATGGGTCCACTTTAGCCAACTCCTCAATCACCAGAATGGATGAGAAAAATGTTGATCCGGTGCCTCCATACTTAGGATCCACCTCTATCCCCATTAGCTGAAAGGGAGAAGATAAGGATATATTTTCAGACAAAATAATGAAACAAACACAACTGTACCCCTCGTTTACATAAACAATGACCACTTTGTAATAAGATGGCTAACTTTACTGCTGACAACAAAAGCATTAAAGTGTTACTAAACCCAGGACCCTGCATACACTATATCTGGTCTCCCACAGTACAAAGGGTTTGCAGAGCCACTAAACAGCATGTTGATGCAAGCCCCAATCATGTCATGTACAAATATATCAGCACAAATGTCCCACAGAAAGTCAGGGGAAAGATTCCCAGGTGTATTGCAGCCTAGCTACAATAAAATGGCAGCACTTATGCAGCAGTTCAATAGTGAAAGTAAAAATACAGCGCAAGCCCAGATAGCATAAAATAAAAGGGAGATAAGAAAAAAACCTGCCCAGCATTTTGTTCCACCAGACAACTCAATAACTGCCTTAACTACCTCCCCTGGTGAGTTGTCAGTGCAAGACGGGATCTGCAGCTTTGGTCTACCACTGAACTGGGTGCCAGTGCTGCGCTTCATTTTCAGATCTAGGGACTTGCACCATAGAAGTAGGAAGGTAAAAACAGCCTAAGTTCTGACCTGGGAGTGGCTGCTGCAGTCACTAATCTCTTCAGGTATTGAAGGTATACCCCAATAATAGTAGTCCAATAACAGTCCTTGTACAGTAGGTGGATCTAGCACCTTCACAAATGTGCACTATACTTGCATACATTGTTGATAGAATAATCGCTATTTTTTTTTTTTTTTGGAAACTCAATCACTGATATTATTACAGAGCAAACAATCATACCAACCCCAAGTTCAAGCATGCCCTGTATGACGGAGTCATCCATTTTTGAGTTGGCATCCATAGTTTTTACAAGTGGGGCAATACGATCTTGGGCAAATTTTTGCACTGCAGGGAAAAAAAAAAAAAAAAAAAGAGATTAGACCAGGCTGTTTAATGTACAGTAAAATATTGAACAACTCGAGTGTGTTTTGGAAAAGTGTGATCACATTCTGGTGACTGGATAACTGGAATGAACTGAAAAATTCCTTCTCTCTGGGTGCAATGGATAATTTAAAGGTGAAGCAACTGTGAGACCTGATAGGCAGCCTAAGGTGTTCACACAACAGGGTGACAACGATGCTTATGATTGTGAGGTGGTGGTTTAACATTTTGAGTCTAACAGAAAGTGCTGTCACTGGCAGAAACTCCAGGTAAGAAATCTTTAATCACTTGCCTCTTACCCTCTTCCAGCCCAGGCCAATTTTCAGCTTTCAGCGCTGTCACACTTTGAATGACAATTGTGCAGTCATGCAACACTATACCCATATGAAATTTTTATCTTTTTTTTCACAAAAATAGAGCTTTCTTTTGGTGGTATTTAATCACTTGGTGTTTTTTGTGCCATAAACAAAAAAATAAAATAAAATTAAAAAAAAAAAAAAAAAGTTTTTCTTTGTTTCTATTATAAAATTTTGAAAACAGGTAATTTTTCTTCTTCACTGATGTGCACTGATAGGCAACACTGATGGGCACTGATAAGCAACACTGATGGGCACTGATAGGCGGCACTGATGAGTGGCACTGATCATCAGTGCCATTCTGTTTGACAATTGCTGCTTATAACCGGCAACTGCATTTACCCGGTGATCTGCTGTCATTGGACACAGCTGATCACGTGGTGAAAGGCTGCTGTGATTGGCCTTTTACCACATCACATGATCAGCTGTGTCCATAGATCACGGAGATCACCGGTGCAAGCCTCTGTGGGCGCAGTAGGGGTGCTCTGGGAGGACATCACATGACGCCCTCCCAGAACTGGACAACCATGCTGTAGCCATCATTCGGCTATAACACAGTTGGCAAGTGGTTAAACATATTCCCAAAATGATTTGCTAAACCTTCCTAACAGCCAATCAAGCTGCCATGTTAGCCTCTGTCTGACCTGCAGTTGTCATGGTGCTGCACATGTGCACATGATGGCTTGACAGTTCAGTTGAAAGAACAAGTATCTGTGACAGTTATCATTAATGGCATGCCATGAATGTATCTGTTTTGAGAAACCATTAAATTGATGGGTTTAGTTCCACTTTAAGAAAACTGTAAACAATGAAGCATGATGCCTAATATACAGATAATAGGGCTTACAGATTGATTCATAACAGCTTTTCTAACATTGCAATCATATGATAGCATAGCGATCACATGATCACCGGGATCTTCATTCTGCTGTGTCCTCCGGAAACAGCAGTCGCGGGTGGAGAGTGCTGTGTGCCCCCTCGGGTTAGTACAGCCAGAGCGACATACCCGTACGTTGTTTTGCCTGTAGCTGTCGCCCTTCTGCAGTACATTGTGGGCGGGAAGTGGTTAAAAGACAGAAGGTTCAATTTTCAAAAGATATGCATGTGTATATTTAGCCACCTAAATGTTTTTGGACTCAGCTGAAAATAACTGTTGAATTCAGATGCGTTTTGAGCTACACCGATTCACATGCCAGGTCAAATAAAATATTTTTCTGTAGAGCCCGTTCACATCACATACGGCAGTTACCAAACACCACCAAAGAAAGCTCTATCCGACTAATCTGTTTACATATAAAATCCAAAAGAGAATAGTGTTGCACATTGGAGTACTTCTCAGTCAAACGATCACAGCACTGAAACCTGAAACATGGTGCAGTAATGGAGTATTACAGACTGGTACTCTAGTAGTAAAAAATACCCATGTCTCTCATCATGGCCTCCTCTTCTGTGAATGTTGCCAGGGGAGGAATCGTGGTGCCCTCTCCAGTGCTCGGAGACAATGCCTCTGCTTTCTGTGAACTCCATCTGCAATGGAGATTTTGAATTGCGGCAAAGCAGCGAGGAAGCCTTCTGCCCAGAAGCTAAGAAAAAAAAAAAAAAAAAAATAAACAAACAAAACAAAAGACAAAATATTAAAATCACATAACAGCCAGGCAACGAGAATTTCCCAAGAATTTTTAGAGAGGTCAGTAATGACATCAAATGACAAACCACTTACAGTCCTCATATCCTTTTCCTCTCTGCCGAAATGATGTTCACATTGGTTGTTTGGATAAGAATATTTTTTTTCTGTCAGCACACAGTTCATATATATGTCTCTGAGACACTATTCACATCTGTGTGTTTCTACAATGTGCGGAAAACATGAATCCTACCACATTCTGCTGCAAAACACACACAAAACCAAGTGTGGAGACATTCACTTTGAATGGCACATCAAGGCACCTAGCTAGTTTATGGAACTGCACATGTGCCTTAGCACCTGGCAAAACGTTTCAAAATGACCACCCGCATGACACTGTAACAGAAAAGTGATTACAATTTTTATTCGCCACCACATAACGCATCCAAAATAAAGTGTAAAGGCTCTGGCCTAGTCCAATTTCCATTAGTTGGGCCTGCCTAATCTTTGATACAATGAAAAGTGGTTGTTTAGGTTTGACCACTTTTATATAGTTTTTGGTAAATCTAAAGCAAAATTCCTCAAGAAAATTTGTAGATATAACCAGAAGAGAGGGACACAAAGTCCATTATAGATTTATTCATCTTGATATAAGATCAGTAGTTAAACCAACACGTTTTGGGTGTTTGTAACTTCCCCTGACTCAGGGCTTAAACGCTGACACCATATTGTATAAGAAAGAAGGTAATAAAAAAAGTGCATAGTACTTAGCAGTCCATGGGGGAGATTTAGGCTGGCCATACACTACACAATTTTTTGTCCAATTTCCATTAGATTTACCTTCAACTATGTAGTGCAAAGGCCTGCCTAATTGGATACAATTGAAAAGTGTTGTTTAGGTTTGACCCCCTTTTATATAGTTTTTGGTAAATCTAAAGCAAAAATTCTCAAGAAAATTGTAGAATAACCAAGACTGGAGTACTCAGAATCTGGCACAGCTGTGCATGGCAGCCAATCAGCTTCTAACTTCAGCTTGTTCAACTAAGCTTTGACAATAAAACCTGGAAGCGGATTGGTTTCTATGCAGAGCTGCACCAGACTTTGCATGCTGGCCAGTTTTAGTAAATGTATTATTATTTTTATTTATAATACCAGGGATTACAAAATGGGACAGAACATGTGACAGAACAATGTACAATGCAAAACATGAGGGATCGAGGGCCCTGCTCTTTCGAGCTTCAATCTGTAAGAGATGGGTTACTCAGGAGGAGATAGCTGTGGTGGGAGGAGTGGTAGGAAGAGTGGAGGAGGTCAGCAAGTTAGCAGGGGGTGTGGTATTCCCTGAAGTGAGGGGTGCGCCTAGGAGAGGGTGTGGCTTTTTCAGAGTGGGGTGAAACCTAGTAAATAACCCCCCTATGTCTTCAAGGGACCATGAATGGGTTAAAAAACTGCACAGGCTTAGCTGAGAAACCCTGAGGACTTTAGAGATGTATGAAATCTTTTGCCTAGGCCAGAAACCAGGAAGTAATATAAATATGATATACTTTCCTATTTTCTTTTCCTAGCAGCATAAGGATTAAAAAGTCAATATTGATTGAGAGAGTGAAGTTCCATGTTGAGGGCCGTTCACACCAGAATGTGATGCGGGAAAGGTATTCCATGTGCATTTTCTGTGCTATGTTCAAAATGCACTGGGTGAGCGATCTGCTGTGGGTGTCAATGTATTCCCAGCGACACCCCAAACGCAGTGTGCTTGATCTGTCTCCCCATGAAGATTTGTCCCCCTGAAGCAACTGCGCATGTCACACTTTTCGGCATAAGAAGCCGATCACCATCTGTAGCACACAGCTGCAAGATTTAACCCCGTTTAGGCTGCACCGCTGATGACACTTAGGCTATGTTCACACTAGCGTTGTGTGCAGGCGGCAGAGAGGCGTTTGGGAAGCGTTTTTACAGCTTCCCAAACGCCTCTGCCAATTCTGCACATTACAGCACATGGTGCTGTTCTAGCGGGAGCGTTTGCGTCGCGGCAAAACGGACGCCTCTGGTCGAGTCAGGAGGCGTTGAAGCCTCCTATTCTCGTCTATGATGCCACTCTGCAAACGCCAGCTGGTTGCGACGTGTTTGCGGGGCATTTGCGGAGCGGTAACACCACTCAAACTGCATTATAGGCGTTTGTGGGGCGTTATTAACGCTTGGTGAACGCCTAGCAACCGCCGCTAAACCGCGCATGCGGCATTTGCAGAGCGTTAAAAACGCTCCACAAACACTGGACCAACGCTTGCCAAACGCTATAGGGGCGTTTGGCAAGCGTTGGTAAAACAGCCAAGTGTGAACGAGCCCTAACACGCACCGCTGAAGCTGATCCCGCGGATCAATAGCCGACACTCCCGCATACTTCAACAAAGATACATGGTCAGATGCAGTAGTTCGGTAATCGATTGATCGTGCCTGAAATAGGGACATGCGCAGTTGCTTCAAGGGGGACAGATCTTCATGGGGGGACAGGTCTTCAAGGGGGACAGATCTTGCCGCTACACCTGTACTGGTTTGCATGATACCGCAGTAGCATGCAATGTGGCTGCACTGCGTCTTTGAACTGTAGTGCATACTATACTTTTGGTGCGATCCAGCGGATTCAAATGAATGGGCTGAAATCACACTGCACTGAGTTGCCCAGAACTGTGCATTTGGTGCGATCAGCCCGATATCGATTGGGTTGGTTCTAATCAATGGCAGTTAACCTATCCACTCCAAATCATGCTGTAAACGCACAAAGGAGGCCCACACGAGCGCATGGCAATGCAGCAGCCTGAGGCTCGCCTCACACTAGTCTCTGCAGTGCAGGCAGCCGTGCAATGTGCATTTCCAAGCATCCACACTTTTTGATGTTCCATGTGCTGCATTCCTCTGCTGTAACATGCATCCATCCACACATGCTGCATTATGAATGGCTCACATAGATCATGACCTATACATATGTCCTTCTCACCTGAGCACTACGACACAGAGCTGCAGCCATTGCCTTCCACCGGTATGCCTCTTCTCGCGAGATCTCAGACAAAACAGAGGGGGAATACCCAAAATCTCGCGAGACCTGGCGCCTCAGTTTGCGTTCCAAGCCTCGCTGTCCCTAAAGCACCCTGTGTCAGAGAAAAAAGAGAGGACAGCAGAATTCTGAAAACCGTTTATTGGCCGGGGATAGCTCATCCCTGAGATTTTTGGAATTCACGCGTTATTCTATATTTCCCAGCAGGCCGCGCGCCCTAGGGTCACGGAGACGCACTGGTGCCGTCACGGGGGCGGGGCCCGCTCTGCGCCTGCGTGCCAAAGGACTTCTTCGGGGCCCCGTGAACAGCGGAGATCTGCGGGGACGGGGCGGAGAGACCCGTGGCGCTTCCCTCGGCGGGCTGGAGGCGGAATGGTGAGCCGGCCTGGAAGAAGCTCCCGCTGACGGTAAGGCGCGGAAACGGCGGGGGGCGGGGCCTGAGGGGGCGTGACGTCATTCCAGGCTTCACAACAATGATCCTCTGTGTATGATGGAAGAGCAGGGGGTCCTTCCTGGAATAGCTCTGGGGGTCCTTCCAGGGATAGTTCTAGGTTCCTTATGGGGCTCCTTCCAAAAATAGTTCTGGGGATACTCTGGGGTTCCTACCAGGGACAGTTCTGGGGTCACTTGGAGGTTCCTTCCAAAGACTGTTCTGGAGTTCTTTCTGGGGTTATTGTGGGGATCCTACCAGGGACAATTCCTTCTGGTGTCACTCTGGGGTTCCTTCCAAAGACAGTTCTGGGGTGCCTCTGGTTCCTTCCAAAAACAGTTCTGGGGTTACTCTGAGGTTCCTTCCATGGACAGTTGTTGGGTGCCTTCCAGGGACAGTTGTTGGGTGCCTTCCAGGGACAGTTGTTGGGTGCCTTCCAGGGACAGTTGTGGGGTGCCTTCTGGTGTCACTCTGGGGTTCCTTCCAAAGACAGTTCTGGGGTGCCTCTGTGGTTCCTTCCAAAAACAGTTCTGGAGTTACTCTGAGGTTCCTTCCAGGGACAGTTGTTGGGTTCCTTCCAGGGACAGTTGTTGGGTTCCTTCCAGGGACAGTTGTTGGGTGCCTTCCATGGAAAGTTGTTGGGTTCCTTCCAGGGACAGTTGTGGAGTTCCTTCCATGGTGTCACTCTCGGGTTCCTTTCAAAGACAGTTCTGGGGTCACTCTGAGGTTCCTTCCATGGACAGTTGTTGGGTGCCTTCCAGGGACAGTTGTTGGGTGCCTTCCAGGGACAGTTGTTGGGTGCCTTCCAAAGGACAGTTCTGGGGCTCTTTCTGTGGTTACTCTGAAGTTTCTACCATGGACAGGTGTGGGGCCTTCCAGTGAACAATTTTGGGTGCCTTTCTGTGGACAGTTGTTGGGTTCCTTCCAGCGACAGTCTGGGGTTCCTTCTGACAGTGGGGTCACTCTGGGGTTCCTACCAGGGACAGTTGGGGGTTCCTACTAGGGACAGTTGTGGGGCTCCTCTGAGGTTCCTTTCAGGGACAGTTGGGGTTCCTTCCTTCTGGGGTTTTCTTCTGAGGTTCCTTGCAGGAAAAGTTCTTGACTTCCTTCCAGGGAAAGTTCTAGGGTTCCTTCAAAGACAGTTCTGGGTTTACTCTGAGGTTCCTTCCAGGGACAGTTGTGGGGTTCCTCTGAGGTTCCATCCAGGGACAGTTCTGGGATTCCTTCTGGGGTTCCTTCCAGGAACAGTTCTTGGGTTCCTTCCACAGATTTCTTAGGTTCCTTCCTAGGAAAGTTCTGGGGTTCCTTCGAAAGACAGTTCTGGGTTTACTCTGGGGTTCCTTCTATGCTGTCCTACAGCTCCTGAGTACCCATAACATCATCACCATACACAAAGTCCTGTTCTTGTTTACCTTCCTCCTGATTACAGGGTATTTCTGTGACCTTGTTCTGTACACTCTGGGAGTGGAATGTGTTAGAG